CTTTTCATGTTTCTGCCAGTGTTTCCGTGCATTAATGGATTGTATTATTTTTGGATCACAGACATCTTTGAGAATCTAACGAGAGCTATGGGTCACCTCCTTGCCAAATGCACATATGTATTCTTACACCTCATTTTGACTTTGATTTTTTTTACTGTAGTTCACAAATATGCACCCTAAAGTCCATCCTTGGACTTGCTAAGTATCTATGTATCCTGGATTAAGACTACTGACTTTAGGGTTAGTTCCAAGATATGCATTTTTCATAGCTTTTACATGTATTTATATTAATTTATCACTTGTGTGATATAGTCACATGCCTCTCTGTCTCTTTTAATTGGGTCAACCCTTCAGTCTGTGTCCAGCTCTGGAGGTTTGGTGACCTGAGAAATAATTGGGCTACATAAATTTCCACTGACTGCCAACTGGGGCTGAAAGGATTGGAGCACAAAAACGTGCATTTGGCCCTGGCTGGTGTGGCTCAGTGGGTTGGGTGTGATCCTGTGCATTGGGAGGTTGCCAGTTTGATTCCCAGTCAGGGCTTATGCCTGGGTTCCGGGCTCGGTCCTTGGTGGGGATGTGCAGGAGGAAGCCAATCAATGTTGCGCTCTCACATCAGTGTCTTTCTCTTACTTTATATACTTAATAAAGTTTCATAAACAAAATTTCACAGGTTATAAAAATGTAAATAGGCATTTTGTTCCTTCATTCAACAAATAGATACTGATTAAGGACCATGTGCCAGGCTTGGTGGTAGGAGCTAGGGATAAAAGATGGATAAGACCCCACCCTTCCTTTGAAGAATTCACTGTCTGGAAGGGGACATAGGCATATAAACAAATCCTTGTTGCCCTAGCTGGTTTTGCTCAGTGGATAGAGCGTCAGCCTGCGGATTGAAGGGTTCTGGGTTTGATTCCTATCAAGGGCATGTGCCCGGGATGCGGGCTCGGTCCCCACCAGGCAGCCAATCAATGATTCTCTCTACTCGTTGATGTTTCTCTCTCTCTCCCTCCCTAC